CCGTTCAGGATTAATCTCTGAACATAGAAGACACAACACCATCCTTGTTAAAGCTATCCAATCAGGTTAGCCTTAAGCTAATATTCCTCTCAACTAGAGCCAATCAGTAATCACCATCCGCTTAATCAATCCACTTACTCAATCCGCACCTGCAGTGTGCTGATGCCAACATCCAACCACCAACTCCTCCACCATTACTAGAATCAACATTCCATGCAGAGTAATGATGGAGGATAGAGGTGGTAGATTGTGCATATCTTCATCATCCTTTTAAATAAGAAGTAATCTACAACATTATTAGGATAAATATTCAACGGATGGCGATCCAACCAATATGACATGGTTGTGATTTCAAAGCAGACTCTCTAATCAGAGGCTTTGCAAGAAATTGGGGACTTTTTCAAAGTAGGCCTAATTTATCTATTTAATATTTAACAAATGTAGGGTTTTTAATTGGAGCTCAACAGTGATCGCTCACTTTTTTTCGGTGGCTCTGGTTCAAATCCTCCATTGATTTTGCACAAAATCCTGATATCAAGAGATTGGTGACTGGAACCAAGACAACCAGCTACCCCTATACTCGTTACTATAGTGGAGAAATGGAGAAAATGAGGAAAATGGGATTTTTACTTCAGGAACAACACTGTTGAGCCCTATACAGTAAATAAACAGTAGGCTACATACAGTATCTTTGTTGATATTCGTAACATTATGTTGCCAGTTTTCTTGGATTGACAATCTGAGTCTTAATGTGGGAAAAAAGGCACTTTTAGTGGATGTGCTTGGTACCTTTTAGTCATAAAGATCCATAAGTGTTTAAAAAGGCGATCAAAATAGTATAAGAACAGCAAGTACCGGTGATAAGGGTGCGGAACCCAATCAAACACCATCACCTTATAAAAACATTCAAAGTTATTTTTACCCTGTTATATGGGATATGTAGATGTAGCGCACCAATGTTTATGACTGTTATTTTTGTCCATTTACTACAGTAGTCTCTGGTTTGTAATAGTTCCTGCAGATGGATACTGAACTCACTCTCAGCAGGTCGGAGCTTTTCCATAGATGCTCAAAATCGTACCCCCAACCTTGCGGTTGAGAGACGACCAACTGAGCCACAGCCGCCCACAGCCAGATTCCCCTTTATAACTATTTCATTACAGGCACCCTTTGGCGTTTTCAACCACTCATAGCACTACAGAACAATTATGATGTTGTCCACGATTTGTGCAATTGTGTGCAAACATGAATACGCACATACTGTATAGAGGCAGCATTATTTACACTTGCCTGCAGTTTGGTGGCAGACGCCTTAAAAAAAAAAAGTACTAAACTGCAAGCCAGCGAACACAGATGAATACATTAGCCATTACAAGTTGGTAAATTAGATCCACATTTTTTGGGGGGGCGGGGAAGAAAATGTTTTCAATGTAAGTACTTAAAAAAATACAAATCCGTTGTTCCGGTGTCGCTGTCATTCAGTTAAAATATTCTCTCTTCAGTTTACAAGAAATCTTCACATGACAGCTTCACCGTTTTTATTCGCCGCAGCTCTATTTCAGAACCTTCTCAGTCTGAAAGTGTGAATAAACTGGTGCCAATACGATGTTGTCATATTCTCCTGCTAAGGTGTTACATATTTTCCCTGCCAGGTAAATATAGAAGAACACATAAATAACAACCTAATCTCTTCATCGCATGTTCATCCCAACCTTTCTGTTTTCACCCATTCATATTAGGAAGACAGTGAGACCATCTGCACTGGTTGGGTAATTGAAATGTTTATGTCTTTATTTGATGTTACAGAGCATGTGATACATGCAGAGTGTTGTGAGGATGCTAAGCAGCTTGGCAGTATGCTCAAACTGATATATGTGTGTGTGCCTTTAAATGTAAAAAGCACCTCATGGTTCAAAGTGAGCCTTGTGGCTAACCTATGATGACATTTTGATGTTTTTAACAAACAAAAAAAAAAGGTACACCCCCTCATTCATCTGCGCATCACTGGACAACACAGGTGTCACCTTTGTGTCAACAGCCGCAGTATAATTACAACTTGTATCCAGAGTCACCGCGTAAAGCTTTAACTCAGTGAGGACAGGCAGACATTGCTTCTCTTATTATGTTTAGAAAATGGGGACCATTAATTCAGCAGACTGTGCAATCATCCAAGTTTTTCATTTTCTCTCCCCACATTTCATTAGTGCGTCTAGACTGCCAATGAGGCATGAGCAAAACAAGCAAAACATAAAGGAAGAGGTAAATATTTTGAGACGTGTGCTCTGAAGCTATAGCAAATTTGCTAACACTCTTAATGTACATTTTATGTGAATTTATTTCACTCAGGAATTTCCTTTGTTTTTTTTGTGGGGGGGGGACAAGGCAATGATGTTTCAGCCCTTCTCAGAACTTGTTTTAATTTTGTGCTCTCAGTCGTCCCGTGGGCGTATGAGTCACTCTTTCTTTTTTTTTGAAACATCTCGTTTTCAAAACACCTCGTTTTTCCCTGATTAGGTCTTTGAAACGCGGTCGAGAGCATTTTTTTCCTGGCATCGTTTTAGACCACTCATCCACTCGAGAGCCAGATCGATGCTACACACATCTATGACAATTATTTTCAGTGATGATTTTTGAGCCTTGATCTCGAAAAACGACGATAGTAAACACCGTCTCCAAATCGTCTACGAGCTCTATTCCTCATCGCGTGTAGTTTCTTCCTAAGGCCCTGGGACATGGAGTTATTCATGTTATTTTCTTGTGAGCCTTGATTCATACAATAGATTTCAAACTGGCTGGTGCATATGAGGCAGTTTTGAGTTTTTTATACTGAATCTAGGTTGGATGAGATTGATATTTCCAATATTAAATTGACTGTGTATCATGGAAGTGGTCAAACATATACACTCTAAAAAATCACTGGGTAAAAGTCACCTCATTCAACTCTATATCAACACTTTGTTTTACTTGGTACTCACCAAATATTTGGATGGATGGAGGATATTTTGACTGTTTCTTACTATTTGGGTTGCTGACCCAAAACAACTTTAGTAAAATGTCATCTTTGCAGACTGTACTCTAGCTGAAACACACAAAATCTGTGACTGTAGTAGGATTAACATTTAAGCTTCTTTTGTCGAGTATTCAAGTCCGAATCACACATTTCAGTGGAGACAAATAATCCAACAGTGACATAAAAGATAACTCTGACTCAGGGTCGACACCATCAGTGATGTTTCTCTGTGCAAATTACAACCTTGTTTCTCATGAATCATCACATATGTGATAATTTTTCTTTATTCTAAGGATATTCCTTTCACTTAAAGACTAATTTCCTGAGATGAAAACATTGCTTTTTTTTGTTATTGTTATAATCACAACTCGCACCATACACATTCATATAGATCTGAGAAATACTCCACCTTAATATAGTCAATGTATACAGTAAATATCATCTTTAAATGTGCACGAATACGTGAAACTAAAAGATGAAGCTTCTTCAACTGGCCACAGTATATGTATGCGTTCTCCCTCTTTGTGCTGTGCTCCTGTAAAAGCCTTTTGAGAGGGTTTGATTTGAATTTGACGATAGAGGGCACTAGTAAGCAAGGATAAAGCCACTGCTGGAATTCAGACAGCCGTCTGAGAAAGCTGCAGCTGCTGAGACTGGCTGCTTCTTTTCCTCTCTCCCCCTCCCTCCCTCCTCCCTCTCTCTCCCCAACTCCGTCTCTCACTCCTTCACTCACTCATTACACTCGTTCACTGTATAATCTCAGACACAGCGCCGCACTGTCCCTATATTAAAAACAAGGAGAGCCATCAACATTTCCATGAGAGAGAGGAGGGTGTCCTCACGCACGCGCGTTAAAAAAAAATCATATAAACACAGAGTTGCTTCTTTTTCTCTTACACAGCAAATGCACATACTTGACGTTGTATCAGAATCCGTGCAACAAAAAAAAAGGAACGGAAAGGTGCAGATTTGCTTTTCACGTGCGCCCTCGGGAGAATTTACGCATGACTCTTGCCAGAATGACCGCCGGCATCACATGAAGGTTCAACATTTTTCTCCCATCACAAGTACATGCAGGCAGCTGTGGGGACACACACGCACTCTGCACACTAATCTCGCACAGACATGGAGTTGGGTTTGCGCAGTGGCCGACTAAGTCTCAGACATCCTTTTTTCTTTTTTCTTTTTTTTTTAGATCATTATTACTCTTTACGCAAATGAATTCATAACAACAGTTGTCAGATTCCTCAATGCTGAGTGGACTGATCAGCGCTGCACAGACAGGCGAAAGACACCGAGCACGCTGCGCGCGGAGAGCACAGCCACTGGCGACCACACGCATTCATATTAGTAACCACAGGGAAACCACAGCACTGCGCACACAGCCAGCACCGTCCCGCCTCGCCTCGCCTGTCCTGTACTGCTGGACTCAGATTGTCGACTATTTCATGTTCTGAAATATTATAACTTACGCTTAACCTGAGAGTGCGCAAAAGTTATGCTTGGATTTGCTTCTCTTTTTTTTTTGTCACATAAGGGATTTCTTGCGGCAATGCCATCACCCCTGCACCCACTCCATCAATTATAATGCAATAACGTCATATAGCATACAATGTCTACAAAACTGTAAATACTCGAAAATATTTTTGAATCGCATATCTTTCCGCGTCGCCCAAAGACAGGAGCATAAGTATGGACAAAAAAGAAGGGTTCATTTGCTCAGAAAGTGTAAAATGCCATCTCAGGAAAAACGCCGGTTAAAAACGACAACATTATAAAGCTTCTTCCTCCACTGTCCTCCTTTCCGTCAAATATTGACGGTGCTGCCGGTGTCTGAACCCGACGCTCAAGACAAAGTCCGACCCTGTTTACGTGCGCTGCCGAGGGGGGGGGAGCAAACCGGAGGAGGTGGAGAACGAGAGAACGAGGGAAGGAGAGAGAGAGAGAGAGAGAGAGAGGGAGACTGCAATATCATTTGAGAATCCCTCTCACAGTGCTGCAGATAGGGGCTGCCAACACATGCGGCGCGTCTGCAGGTGAGGGAACAGGCTCGAATGTGCTGGACACACTGAGGAATTCAACCAGCGCTTCCTGAAACTAACGAAGGATTTACATTTTTCATTTTTCTCCATTGCTTTTTTCTTTTTTTTTTAAGCACAGACTTGATTTTTTTTTTTTTTTAGAATACGGTGGAGTTGTCTCGCAAAAAAAAAGAAAAAGGAAAGAACTATTCTGTCTGCTTGCTGACTTGGAGGAAGAGAGCAGAGTAGGCAACCGGACAGGTAATATACCTCAATTTAAGATCCTCACGAACTGAGAGCTGACAGACTCCGCGCAATCGACACTCACCGTGTGATGAGTTTGGAAACTGCGCGGGCATTTAAATAATCATCTGTGGACATATCACCGGAAAGAGGAATATCGCCAAAAAAAAAAAAAGAGAGGAAATTCTACCCGCAAACTGTGAGTAAAAACCACGGGATATGGACTGAATTCACTTCCCGGGTGATTTGATGATGCTCGGACTGTAACATTTTTGGCTTTTACGCGCATGAAATTCAAATATTTGTGGCACCGCCCGGAGTGCAGGGAGACTCTCTGGTGTGCTTCATGATATCATCGCGGCTCTTTCTTGCATTGCTAAATCAAGGAAAAAGCAAGTAACATCCAGTGTCGGTGTTAGAGAAGCAAGAGAAGAGACGTGAAGCCCCCTTCACTTGCTGCTTCACACTGCAGCAGGAGCGATGTAGGAAGTCGTCCGGAGGATGAAGTCTCACGCATCCCGCTCCAGAGGGCTTAGCTCTGAATGAAAACGATATTTCTTCATCAGATTCGGACTCTGCTGTAGTGATTAATTTTTGTTTTTTTTTATACATTTTTTTTTTATTGTAAGTGGACATTTTTACAGGGAGAACAATGAGGACTACTGGTGCAGTGGACTATTTGTACTATTGCATGCTCATCTTGCAGTTTGTGCATCAGCCCGCTGCAAAGCAGGTGCTCCGGTACCGTTTGGCTGAGGAGGGACCCGCCGATGTCAGAGTGGGGAACGTAGCCGGCGACTTGGGCATCGTAGCCGGTTCCGGCGAGGTGACATTCACGCTTGAATCAGGCTCTGATTTTTTCAAAATAGACAACATCACAGGTGAGCTCACCACCAATGAGAGACGCATAGACCGCGAAAAACTACAGCAGTGCCAAATGATATTCGATGAAAACGAGTGTTTCATAGATTTCGAAGTGTCTGTCATTGGACCGGCTCAGAGCTGGGTTGACCTCTTTGAGGGAAAAGTCATCATATTAGATATAAATGACAACACTCCGTCTTTTCCCTCCCCGGTCCTGACACTGTCTGTGGAGGAAAACAGACCCATTGGAACCCTTTATCTGCTTCCCACAGCCACAGACAGAGATTTTGGAAGAAATGGAATAGAGAGATATGAGCTTATCCAGGACAACGGGGAAAACTCGAGGCGCCTGGGCTCTTCTGGGGATTCGTTCTCCGGGAAGAGGAGATTTGAGGAAGGCGCGAGCAGGAGCAGTGTCTTTGAGCTGCAAGTTGCTGACACGACTGATGGAGAGAAGCAGCCTCAACTCATCATTAAAGGGGCCCTTGATAGGGAACAGAGAGACTCATATGAGCTTACACTGCGCGTGAGGGATGGAGGTGATCCCCCTCGCTCTTCCCAGGCCATTCTTAGGGTAATGATCACTGATGTGAATGACAACAGCCCTCGGTTTGAGAAGAGCGTGTATGAGGCTGACCTACCGGAAAACAGCTCCCCTGGTGCCCCCATACTTCAGCTGAAAGCGGCTGATGCAGACGTGGGGGTTAATGGTCAAATAGAGTATGTGTTCGGGGCAGCCACAGAGTCAGTAAGGCGGCTCCTGAGGTTGGATGAGAGCACAGGGTGGCTGAGTGTCTTGCACCGCATTGACCGTGAAGAAGTGAGCCAACTGAGGTTCACAGTAATGGCCCGTGACCGAGGCCAGCCACCCAAAATGGACAAGGCCACTGTGGTGTTGAACATCAAGGACGAGAATGACAACGTTCCTGCAATAGAGATCAGGAAAATTGGACGCATATTCCTCAAAGACGGGATCGCAAACGTGGCCGAGGATGTGGTGGTGGACACACCCATTGCCTTGGTTCAGGTGTCGGACCGGGACCAGGGGGAGAACGGTATCGTCACCTGCACAGTGGTGGGGGATGTTCCCTTTCAGCTCAAACCAGCCAGCGAAATGGAGGGGGAGCAGAACAAAAAGAAATATTTCCTCCACACGTCTGCACCGCTGGATTATGAGGCCACACAGGAGTACAACGTGGTCATCGTGGCTGTGGACTCCGGGAGCCCAAGTCTGGCAAGTAACAACTCTCTCATCGTCAAGGTGGGCGACACTAATGACAACCCTCCTGTCTTCAGCCAGAATGTGGTGGAAGTGTCGTTTCTAGAAAACAATCCCCCTGGCGAGAGAGTGACGACAGTGGCAGCCATAGATGCAGATAGTGGGAAGAACGCTGAATTAGCCTATTCTCTGGACTCGTCAGTAAACGGGCTTTTCTCTATCGACACAGACAGCGGTGACATCCGGGTAAACACCGTTCTGGATAGGGAGCAGACTGAGCGCTACGAATTCAAAGTGATAGCCAAAGATAAGGGCATAAACACCCTTCAGGGCTCCGCAACAGTGGTCGTCCTTGTGGCCGATAAGAATGACAACGCGCCGAAGTTCATGCAGGACGTGTTCACCTTCTATGTCAAAGAAAACCTTGAGCCAAACAGCCCAGTTGGCATGGTTACAGTCATCGACGCAGATAAAGGCCAGAATGCTGAGATGAGTCTTTTCATCGAGGAGGAGGAGGACTTTTCAATCGAGAATGACACCGGGACTATTTTTTCCACGCTGTCTTTTGACCGAGAGATGAGAACTACATACACCTTCTGTGTCAAGGCTGTGGACGGCGGTGACCCTCAGAGATCTGCCACCGCCACAGTGTCACTCTTTGTCATGGACGAAAACGACAACGCACCAACTGTCACTTTCCCACCAAACAACTCTTACACCCTCCTTCCTCCCTCGAGTAACATCAGAACTGTAGTCAGGACTGTCCTGGCCACTGATACCGACACCGGTCCCAATGCAGACTTGAGCTACAGCATTATTGGGGGGAACCCTTTTAGGCTGTTTGAGATAGATGGGGGCACTGGGGTCATCTCAGTGGTGGGGAAGCTGGAGCAAAAGCACTATGGCCTCCACAGACTAGTAATCCAGGTGAATGACAGTGGCCAGCCTTCCCAGAGCACCACCGCATTAGTTCATGTATATGTCAACGAGACTCTTTCCAATTCCACAGTGGTGGAGGCCCAGGTGGCTCGGAGCCTGAGCACATCCCTTAACACAAACATTGCTGGTGACCCCAACTATGACCTCAGCAAGCAGCGGTTGAGCATCGTCATCGGCGTAGTCTCAGGCATCATGACAGTGATCCTCATCATTCTTGTTGTCGTCATGGCCCGTTACTGCCGCCCCAAGAATAAGAATGGCTACGAGGCCGGGAAGAAGGACCACGAGGACTTCTTCACGCCCCAGCAGCACGACAAGTCCAAAAAGCCCAAGAAAGACAAGAAGAAACAGAAATCTAAACAGCCCCTCTACAGCAGTATTGTCACCGTGGAGGCCTCCAAACCAAACGGGCAGCGGTACGACAGTGTCAACGAGAAGTTGTCGGACAGTCCTGGCATGGGTCGATACCGTTCGGTCAACGGAGGGCCGGGGAGCCCGGACCTGGCCCGGCACTACAAGTCCAGTTCACCACTTCCTACTGTCCAGCTTCACCCGCAGTCGCCGACAGCTGGCAAAAAGCACCAGGCCGTTCAGGACCTGCCCCCTGCCAATACCTTTGTTGGCACCGGAGATAACATTTCCCTTGGATCTGACCACTGCTCTGAATACAGCAGTCAAACGATCAACAAGTACAACAAACAGGTAAGAAGACACATCTCCATGTTATTTTCTACCCCCTCTTTCCACCACTCTTAAATGTCTTCTGTTTCTTCCTCTTAGTGTTCTCTCCACCATAATGCTTCCTGACAGGGCTAGTCTCAGTAGTCTTGTTGCCTTTATGGTGCTAATGTGTGTCAAGTTAGCGGTATTGATCTGTTTTGGTTTGGAGTGCCATTCACATGTAATATTGAAAGGAAAGAGAAAGGTTCAGCTTAGCTTTTGAGGGGGGAGGAGTAACTGTTACCACTCGACCAAACACGGACAACTTTTCTTTTTTTTTCCCCGCTTTTATCACACCGTGTGTTGAGACTGCCTTTTCCATCACGGGTGTCAAAACTACTAACCTTGGCAAATATGTGTCGAAGTGCTGTAGACAGCTCACATGCGGGTTTGGTTTGCAGTTATTCGATCCCCGAGGGGAGTGAAGCAGGGGCCGGCTACACTCCCCGCCCTTTAGCCATGTCAAAACCCTGCCCTGCCCTTTTTTTTTTCCTGTGACAAGGCCGCCTTGTCTTCTTGTGAAAGCATAGGGGGGAAAAACAAAACAAAAGAGAGAAAGGTAGATGTGGAGTGAGTGCCGCACAATTATGGCTTTGTTAAGTTTGTGAGTCAGTTTTACCGTCTGGGTTTTAGTAGGAACATCTGGCCAGGAGGGTCATATTAACATTCTTTTGCACGTCAGCGTCTGCATCAATTCACTGACCCAGCAGTGGAATTGGACATTTTTGACATCGCCTCCCTCTTTTAACCCTTCCTCATATATTATTTTTCTGCCACCTTCTACCTTGCTTATCGTCTCATCCATCCCCCTAGCTATTCTTACCTTACCTCTTTTGGCTTCTTCAGTGCTGGAAACAGTGTAGGTGGCGTGATGTGATATTCAAATTCCAGGAAATGTGTGTGCTTTCATCACTTTGGGTTTTGTGTTTTTTTTGTTTTTTTTGTTTCTTTTTGTTGTTGCAAGAAACAAAGTAAATGCATAATGAAGTTGGCTGATTTGCGTTTCCAGGAGAAAGAACGCTATTGTTTTATGTGTTTTCTATGGTAGTCTAATGAATTATTGATCTTTGTTTTTTACCTGGTGTCAGCTTTACTCCTTAAGAATTCTGCGGGTGGGGGGGGGGGGCTGTTTTCTCTCAGAACAAAGCTTCTTTTTTCATTTTTGTTGTCCTCTTTCCTTCACCTTATTTTCTATTCCATGCCCAGCGTAAACCTTTCTACCCCCAAACTCTTCTCTGCCCCTGTGCTGTGTATTTTATCCTTGCTTTGCCTTACACCCACCCCTTCTGCCTCTTTTTTCTTTTCTCTCTCTTCATTTTCCGGCCCTCCACAACATCATACTCCTTACAATGCTGCTCTCTCGCTCTCTCTCCTTACCTTTTTTTCTTTTTCTTCCAGTGGTTTCTTTTTAAATCTCCACTCTCATCTCTCTATGTCCCTCTCCCTCTTTTGCTACTTCTCCTCTCAAATCATTTCACCCCCCCCCCCCTTTTTACTTCTATCCCCTCTCTTCTCCTGGCTCTGTCTCTAACAGCTTCTAATATGGTGTATTCACTGAGCTGCTTCCCAGAGTGTGAGGAGTGCTGTTGCTTTCGGATGTCTCCTGCATAATTAAAAGGGCACTCTATTTGCTGCTGCGGCAGCAGCATGTATTGTGTGTCACTACGCTCCACTTATATAATTATTTATTTACTTTCTGCATTAATGCTGCGGTAACTTTTATGAACTGTGCTTTTGTTAGAACACGCCGACAAAACTATAGCGCACAAAGAGCGTTTCCTTGTGATTCTTTGGGCACTTAAACTCTATTAGAATAGTAAAGAAAGTGTTGAGTGGTCCACTGGGTAATATCACCCAATGTTTATTGTGCAGTGTAGCCTGTTTTGAATTAAATAAACAAAAGCTAGCAGGTAATCAAAATGCCTTTTGTATCCCGTGGGCTCGGTAAAACACTCACTCTTGATATATTCAGTTGCGGCAGATATAGAGTGTGTTTTAATGGCAGCACAAGAGAGCTAATTGAGGAGAAGGTGTGCGTTCATGTGCTCAAATTACGGCGTTAAACATGCACCTCTATATTAGATTAAGTAGCGAAGCGGTCACGCTCTTGATTTTTAGGAACGCTGCATCTAAAAATATTCCTTTTTTTGGCACAAGAGCCACTGGAGCTAAAGACATAATAAAACACTCAGGGATACTTATGCGACTCGGAACGATTTGTGCACGTTTTTAGAGTAGTGGTTGAAAAATAACGGACAGAATTAACTTTGTTGTAAGATTTGTCTGAGACGGAGAGGTGCTGTTTTTTTTTTTTATCTGAGAGCTTTAATTGTTTTTTTCGTTTCACCTATTATCACGTTTGGCTGCAACTCAGTAGAACCTGTTAAAGCTGTAAATGGTTCTGATTTATCGCAAGTGATGACAAGCGACACACACAACAACATGCACACACACGCCCTCCCACAGAAACCCTCGTCTTTCACCACTCCCTCTCTCTCTCTCTCTCTCTCTCTCTCGCTCTCTTTTTTTTTTGTCATTCAGTGGGAAGAGATAGAGACGGGCACAAGAAAGACGGCCCTGTTTGCGGCTCGGAGAAAGGCCTCCACTGTTTCACAGGGGACTTGGGGTCGGGTGGCAAGATAGAAGGGGAAGACGAGGGGAGAGAGAGAGAGAGAGAGAGAGAGGGACTGGTGCTGACCGTTTGTCTGTAATTTCAGAGGTATCAGGTTCCGTCTCTTTCTTTCCTCGCCAAGCTAATCTTACAATGAGTGCAAAGGCAACCTGCACGGGCAGGTAACCAGGCAACTGGGAGGAGTGTATCAGTGAGGGAGGCTTTCTTTTTCGTCCATCGGACATTTAAACAGTCATTAAGCTGAGCTAAACTGGGAGGATGAAGCCAGGAGGGGGAAAATACATCTCTCCCTTTAACCCCATTGAGTAAGTTATTCATGTTCCCGCTATATGTGTGGCTATACTCCTAAGATAACCTGCGTCCAATCCTTACATCTGGAAGCTGATGAGTAGTGGTGTGCACTTAACAGAACACTTAACTTTATTACTTCTGGCAGCAGCTCCTGCTCCAGCCAGTGCCAGAAAATAACGCTGTCCAACCGTAATGTAGCGAAGAATGAATTCACTTAGCCATCGAATTAGCACAAGCCATCAGCTTTTGTTTTATCATTGCACTTCAAAGCGGCACTCTTGCCCAGGTGGATCACTTTTAATCAGGGGTGAGCCACAGCAGCTTGAATGCAATGCTCAGCTAGTGTAGCCCCTCAGGGCAAAGGGAAAAAAAAAAAAAAAAAACAGTCGAGGAATTTATACCCGGTTATCATCCTGCCTCAGGGCTGATGCAGCTAGCATAACTGGACATTGCCCTTAACCCAGCCAAGAGGGTTCACCTCCCACGCTCTGGCCAGCTGTTCCTCCCGCGCCTCCTCATCGCTGCAGCCTCTCCAGCACAAGAGACGCTCCCGATTTGCATAGGGCAGAATCCCCTCCCAGGCGCACTTGCATAGGACAAACAATATCATGCAAATGGAGGTCACATGAATGGTGTTTGTAGCCAAAACATAGGATGCGATCGCCCTTCAGGCTCCATGCAGAACAGGAAACCAATATGGAAATGTAGCACTTTGCCCCTGGCCTCATTTGTTTTCCAAGCAGCAAAATGTAGCGTCCTTAAACACCTGCAGGAAGCCACATCTGACCTTAATGAAACCTGCGGTGATTTAACACTTTTGTATGAACGCATAAGGATTAAGCAATCACGCTACCAATCGTCCAAACCTTTTGTGTGTGTGTTTTTTTTTTGTTTTTCTTTTTTACCTCCGGGAGTCATCAGGGTTCTAAACTCCCCTGATGGCTCTGGCATGATTTTATCTGTGAATCTGTTGTGGCAGTCAGTCCCCTCATTGAGCTCAATGAGGTAATTACTTGATAAGAGGTTCCACAGGAGCTTAAACATGTTTGGTCATCCCTCCCTCCCTTCCCTTCCCTCCCCTCCCCTCCCCTCCCCTCCCTCCCCTCTCTGATTGCTGATACAGGTCAGCCTATTTTCAGACCAAGCAGACGAGGTAGAAAACAGCTCATTATCACATAAGAAAAACAAAATATGAAAAGTCTCCCTCTGAAATGAGAGGCCAAAGGTGACGAAAAGAGGTGAAGGAAAAGCAATCTGGAAATTTTCTATTAAAGTGAAGAAATGAGATTACGTGCAATGAGCTGGTTTGTTTATTGCCAAATTATTATTAGCGTCCTCGTCCTTTGTGGGGTGCTGCGTACCGCCGACTGTGGCTAATTTTATCAAAATTGTTTTGGATCTATTACGGCTTAATTCAATCTATGGCTGCTCCTTGGCGCTTTTGTTGTTTATGTTCCGAGAGGGAAAATGGGAGAGTAAAGAGTGCCCGGTAATACTCATGAAATTGCAGCGGGCAGCGTTTTCTGCTATAATTTGGTTTGGTGATTTGAATGCAGTCGCTCTAAGGCAATTACTAATCTGAGGATTAGACGTACCTGATACGCCGGCAGAAATGGAGGGAGGCGGGGAGGGGGGGGGGGGGGGGGGGTGAGTCAGAGGGAGATTTCTGTAGCTGGTTGCTACAGTTTCTGCTGTGTGACTCTGCAAGGGCTTTTCTATACCTGCTGTATAGGGGGAAACGGTAAATGTGTTGGTGTACATCTTACTTTTTCTTTCCTTTTTTATCTCCTTTGTTTTTCTACATACAACCAAATAAATACTTGTGATTGTCAGCATATGATGCCAAGATATTAAGAAAGATGAAAGGAAAGGGGGGGGGGACAAAACAGTGAAGAAATTTAAGCCGCATGCCACCTTGATTGCTTTCCACGCTGCTGATTGTAAGTGGCAGTGTCAGGGATGCCACCTCGTTCTCGCCGTTTCGTCTTTCAATTTGATGCCATCGAGAATGGAATTTCATTTCATACTCGGCAGCGATCGCATTAGATAGGGCTCACCA